ATAATTTAAAACCTTAATAAATCTCCAATAAATATCTAATAAGCCTTTTAAAATTCTTAATAAAATTCTCAATAAATCTACCTAAAATTCTAAATATATATGTAATAAAACTTCTAAAATATTTAGTAAATCTTCATAAAATCTTAAATAATAATGAATTTCTTAAAGAAAACATATTGAAAATGTTGGAATCCAATTAATTCCACTCATATGAATTTAACTACAATTTATAGTTTTATCTCTAATAACGCATAATTCAATCACAATTTATTTTTAACGAAAAAAGATATCTAATGATTGGTAGGTAATGATATATAATAATAGTAATAAAAGGATATAAAAACACAATTTATATTTTTATATGGAATTAAAAAGTTGTGTCCAAAAAAAGACATGCAATGATGTAATGATTGTTGGACGTGCAAAGAGTGACTAAAAATTAAATAAATGATATAATGGGAGAATATGAAAGAAAAGAATAATAACAAATAAATTATAAATATTTGACTACACTTTTCATGGCACACTAATGTGTGATGTCTCCGCTCCGACATTGACTTCTCTTTTTTATAATATTTATTTTCATTTAGAGTAAAATGACAACAACCTAACCTTTCCATATTTATGTATACATTCTAATGACCAAGAAATGCAATTGCCCTTCACATGATTTTATGCATTGTTTCTATTCAAAATTCATTTTTTTTTTTGATGAATAAAAATCCAATTAATTTGATGCACTAAACCCATGCCACATGCTTCAAGGCCAACGGTGACTTCCCTTTCCCGTTTTGTTTTCATTCCTTTTCATCAAGTATTAGAGCAATTAATGTTTCACTTTTTTCTCTATACTTTTTACATATTAATTATGGTTTTACACAAAATTTTTTTCTATACACTTTTCACACATTAATATATAATTCAATATTCCAATAAACATTAACTTATTCTATGTCACAAAATGTTCTTCTCTACACTTTCCACACGTTAATATATAGTCCAATATTCCAAAAAACCTTGACTTATTCCACACGTTGATATACTAAACCCACACCACATGCTTCTAGTCCAACGATGACTTCCCCTTTCCCCTTTTGCTTTCATTCCTTTTCATCAAGTATTAGAGCAATTAATTTTCCACTTTCTTCTCTACACTTTTTATACGTTAATTATGGTTTTACACAAAATTTTCTTTTTTACACTTTCCACACGTTAATATATAGTCCAATATTCTAGAAAACCTTAACTTATTCCATGTCTTCTAGTTGAAGAATTCTTCATTACAATAATAGAATACTACATCAATAGCATTCTAACCAATAAAATGTTTATAAATCATAAGATTCTTTTTCCATCACATTCATTACAGATTTCTCATGTTGGTTTTTGTTAATTATGGTTTCCACAAAAGACTAGATTATACACAACTATTAGTTGTCACATATCAACTATTA